GGGCGGGGGTCACCGGGAGCCGCGCCCCGCACCTCGGACCCGGCCGCTGCCCGGTGCCCGCGCTGGCCGGCAGAGGGCAGCGGCAGGGCGCCGCGGGCTGCACATGGCTGTGTGACCGTGGGATTGTGTCTGTCCCCTTGCTCAGGGCGGCGTGCGGGCGATGGAGCGCGCGGTGGAGCCCTGGGGCCCGGATCTCCAGGGCGCAGAGGAGAGGGAGCAGCTGAGAGGCGCCCGCACAGGTGAGGGCCGGGACGGTGCGCCGCCAGGGGCAGGTAAAGGCCGGGTGGGGACTCCGGTGCTGGGCTCTGTCTGGCCGAGACCCAGAAAAATCGGACATGAACTGTGCTTCCAGGGGGAGGGGGAGGGGAGCAAAAACCGAGGTTAAGGAGCCAACGTTTCTGAGCACCAACTCTGCGTCAGGCCGTGAGGGGCTTCATCTCAAGGACTCTCCTGGCTCCTCGACAGTCATTACCAGCCTCACTGCCTCTGCCCTACTTCAGGCCTCCTTTTATCTCATCCTGACAATTGCAACAGCCTCCCTACATCCCTTTTCTCATCAGTGATGCACTCAGCAGCCACATTGATCCAAGTCCGGATTTAATCCTGTTTCCCTTCTCAAAAACCTTCCCTAGCTCCCTTCTGCCTACTAATCAAAAGCCTAGTGTTCGATCTAGGCCTTACATGCTTAATCGAGTCCCAACATCCCTTTCCAGCTTTATCTTCCATTCCTCTCCGTGGTTTACTCTTTTCCTTTGCTGTGAAAGCTTGGCCCTATCTCCTTATTTCCTTGCTCTCTTGTGACAGCGGTTATTCTGAGCCCACAATTATATTATTTGTGCTTGATCTTCTCTCTCCTACCAACCCTACGCATTTTGAGGAACAGGTGGGCGTCTGGGTCCTCTTAGGTACACGCAAGATGATTGAAGTAATAAATTACAGAGTGGGCTATAGAAATAGCAAATACTAGGTTTTCAAATAGAGACAGTATAATGTGGTTAACACAGGCTTGGGAATCAGACAGACCTGAGTTAGAAACATGGCTTTGCTACTTTCTAACCTTTCTAACCTTGAGTAAGTGACTTAAATTCTCTGAGTCTTCATGTCTATAAAATGGGAGTAGTAATAGTATTATTTCATAGCATTGTTTGCAAGGATTCAGTGATGCCTAGTTCAGTGACTGGCATATATTAAGGGCATGTTATAAGGAAGTTACCATTGTTAATGAGAGGCAGCAATAAGAAGTGTTTCAGAAGTTCAGAGGAGAGGGAGAGCATCCTTGTGACTGCAGATTGTCAAGGAAGCCTTCCTGGGGAAGTTGTTATCAAAGATAGGGGCTGAGCCAAAGAGCAGGGTCTACTACTCCCTTTTCTTTCTCCAGGTATAGGGAGTGAGAATGTGGAGATTTCTCAGCCGGATGAGTTTGAACATACCCCACAGGAGGATGACTTGGGGTTCAAGGAAGAGGAAGATCTGGCCCCAGGTCATGAAGTAGGAAATGCCTCTCTCAAACCTGAAGGCATCCAGACCTGGGATGACTTGTGGGTCCAGAGAGAGGGACCAGGAAAACCTCAGGCTCGGGACAGAGGTCCCCGGCTCCTGGGAGAGCCACGTTGGGGCCAGGCTAGTGATCGGGCTGCCGTGTGTGGTGAGTGTGGCAAGAGTTTTCGGCAGATGTCAGATCTGGTGAAACACCAGCGGACCCATACAGGGGAGAAACCCTACAAGTGTGGGGTCTGCGGCAAGGGCTTTGGGGATAGCTCTGCCCGTATAAAACACCAGCGAACTCATAGTGGTGAAAAGCCCTACAGAGCCCGACCACCAGCCCAAGGCCCCCCAAAGATTTCTCGGTCCAGGATCCCAGCTGGTGAACGCCCCACTATCTGCGGCGAATGTGGCAAGAGCTTCCGGCAGAGTTCTGACCTGGTGAAACACCAGCGGACACACACGGGTGAGAAGCCCTACAAGTGTGGCATCTGTGGCAAGGGCTTTGGTGACAGTTCTGCTCGCATAAAGCACCAGCGGACACACCGGGGGGAGCAGCCTTCCCGGCCCGTGGTGCCCAGACGGCAGCCTTCTCGAGCAGCCACGGCAGCCACACAGGGACCTAAGGCCCAGGACAAGCCATATATCTGCACCGACTGTGGCAAAAGATTTGTGCTCAGCTGCAGCCTTCTGAGCCACCAGCGCAGTCACTTGGGGCCCAAACCTTTTGGCTGTGATGTGTGTGGAAAGGAGTTTGCCCGGGGCTCAGACCTGGTGAAGCACCTGCGGGTGCACACAGGAGAGAAGCCCTACCTATGCCCCGAGTGTGGCAAGGGCTTCGCCGACAGCTCTGCCCGGGTCAAACACCTCCGCACCCACAGTGGGGAGCGGCCTCACGCCTGTCCAGAATGTGACCGTACCTTCAGCCTCAGCTCCACCCTTCTCCGCCACCGCCTCACTCACATGGAGCCCCAGGACTTCAGCTTCCCAGGCTACCCCTTGGCCCCCCTGATCCCCAGCC